TCGAGTCACGATTGTACATAATTAGAGTTTATCAACATGCAACATATAGTCAGCATTTTCTTACCAGAAGAGCTCCAGTTCCGAAGAAGATGCCCATCACTAGTGGCGCTTTACTGTCGAAGACCTGTGCAATGGTCACGGGACAGCTCTAGAGGAAGACAGATGAAAGTGTGAGCACCGAAAATACAGTTAAACAGAAGCTAACAGCATAAAGTGGTGCTGTGGTAGAGATTAGACCGACTCACAGGCATGACGAGTTTCTCCATGAAGCCATCTGGTTTGGGACAGGTGTCTTTAGCCATCTCGATCAGCGAGACGCCGGTCACTCCACAGCAGTGAAACTGCCGAGCAGATAGAGGAAGAGGGCGACGAAGGGAAATGAGCAACAGTAAGCATAGATTGAGCAACAATCCTCATGCTTAACATTTGATATGGTGTCATTAATATATTAGTTGTTGTTGAGAGAAATCCTGCCATGGGGCTGTCTGCAGTAGAAACAGCTTGTCTATGTGCATTTAAACAAAGACGTTCCCATTATCATATTTATCAAAAAGTCCAGAACCACCTTACGCGAGCATAAAAACCTGAGGGGCTGCACAATTAATGGAACATTAATAACAAGATGAAATGAACCCCCGGATGTTTAAAATGCTCATTGATAAACAGCTCGTGTATGAAAGCAGCAGTTGGCTTCACCTCAAAATCTGAAATGAAAGCGTCTGTTTCCACTTGTCAAAGTACTTTTTGGTCACACACACCTGTCTGAGTGGAGATTATAGGCTTCTGACAGCTAGCATGTACCGCCGCCTGCATGTGTGGTGTTTAGGAAACATCAGCAAGCAGATGTTCAGCAAGTGAAGCATTCTGGGTACAATTTAATTCCTGTTTTACCTGCAGTAGATGCACTGAAGCAGCACTCTGCTTGTTTAAATGTCAATCCACATAGTCATGATGATCGTGTTGGCTGTCAGTGTCGGTGCTCTGCCCACATTGTTTTGCTATTTTTGCCATGATACGAGGAAACGTAACTAAACTGCTGATGATCTAAATCAGGACCACAAAGCCGGACCTGAAACTATTTGGAACTATTTCAGATTTCTTGGCCGGTGTTTCACCACCTTCCAAATGGTTTAACCTTAAAAGAGTCTTCACAGCAGAAAGACATTTTTCAGTAAATAATAATAATAATCGGTGTCATTTTCGCCCCGATCATTGTAGAAAGATGAAGTCCTTCCAATCATCTGGTGTAAGATAGTTTTAAAATCTTGTATTTTTCTTATATCGCAACATGTTGTACATCAGGGACAACCACATTTTTTTCCAATACCCTGCAGCCCCCATTAGGGACACATCACATCGTACTAAACAGAGGGAACAGTTTGCTCTTACCACGTTGTGGATGAACGTGAGCGTGACGGCGATGGCTGGGTCTCCGCTGTTCATGTACAGAGTGTACATGCTGGTGTAGAACTCTGCAAATCTCAATCCCACCTTAACAACGACAGTTAAAACACAAAGTCATCGTCACGAACGTTCACGAGTTTTGATTCTTCTTCTTCTTCTTTGTCTCTCACCTCATCTCTCTTGGAATACGCCAGCACTCCGACGATGATCTCACCCGTCGCCAGAAAGGCCACGAGGATGGCGAACTGAAAGGAAATAACTGTAATTAGACCACGAGATAAAAGTCGGGCTGAGTCACGTGAAACCGCGAAGAATGAAAACGAGATGTAGCCGGGTGTCAAGTAACGACGAAGGTCAAAAGTGTAGAACGGCGACGCTTCAGGGATCTGAGCAGCCGGAGCGATGAGTAACTACAGGATCTCCTCACGTTTCACATTCCTCCCTCGCATCCATTGTTCTCCCACCGGAGCGCAAACTGAAACAGTGTCTACTGGTTCCTGGAAGTGATCGCAGATGTTTGCTAGTTCCAGTGAAAAATTAAAGCTTGTTCACATGAACTTAAAAACCACATGTTTAACTTCTGGAAGCACAGTTAAATTACAGGATAATAACCTCCCAGCGTGTCCGGATGGTGTTTTTATGGTGCGGAGTTACTTAACAGATTATCTTCATGGTAAAAGCTTCATCGTGTGCACCTTTTATACACCGAGATGAGCTTTTAGGGATTAAATCAGCGACTAAAGAGGGACTTTACGCGACAATGACTTTACATGACAGGAAGCGGCTGATTAGTTCACACGGCGCTCCGTCTGCTTTCCTGGCTCACCTTGGAGCTGCTGCGAAACACGACAGGACTGATTAATTAACCCACGCCACCTTGACTGACCGCCACCTTTTCATCGCCACCACATGTCTTAGTCTTACAGGTGTACTCATAAATCTTTGACATTTTTACGAGCGCCTTGTTAAGGAGAGAGGGCGGCAGTGATTTATTAATTTAGCGACGGTTCCCCTCGATGGCAGCACGACCAGAGCTGGGAAAGTGAAATGATAAAATGGACGCCTTGTTGTTGGAAGAGTAATAACGCGCTGTAGTTGTAATGATGTAAAGCTAATCCTGAAGTAAATGGTCGTTGGTCATGTACGTTTGTCAAACCAACGCCCACACTCTGGTTTTGAGGTTTGACCCTGTTCTCAGTGTGTTGTGGTTTTCGTGTGCAAGTCGATGAGAGTCCAGGCTTCTGTTTCTATGTTAAACATTTGCGTAACAGTCGCCTGGTGGCTAGTCTGGCTACGCTCTAAAACAGCGAGCAAGCTGCAGCGTCTTCCGTCACTTCTACAATCACAGATCTACGTTAATGTCGCCGATGGTTCTTGCCGTTTGTCGGTGCCAGCTGACCAATCACAGGGCGGCCTTAAAGAAACAGGAACTAACACGAAACGATGCTAAATAGGGAAGTTACAGCAACGTACTAAATGAGGAATTAGTGTTCTTGTCACATGAATGTATTCTAGCTGATCCCCCAACAATAAGAATACCGTAATGTCCGGACTATAAGTCGCTACTTTTTTTTTTACACGCTTTGAGCGCTGCGGCTTAAACGAAGATGCGGCTAATTTGCCTCGAGATGAATTGAGAGCGACGACGAACGAGAGACTGAGGAAGTAATTCTGAAGAAGACGACTTTAGTGGTTTGAGTGCAGGAGGAAGATGAAGATGGCGATCAATGACTTCCTGGTAGGCGGCTGTAGTTTTTATTAACCAGCCGTATTACAGGCACTCTCTGGAAAAAAGCATCTACGGTATGTATTTAATTAGAAGTTTTAAAAATCTTTGTGTAAATATCTCATGTCACAACGAGGACACATGCAGCTTATAGACAAGTGCAGCCTGTATATGTTCAAAACTTGCTTTCTTTTTAAAGTTAGTGGGCGTGGCTGATATTCAGGTGCCTCAATAGTCCAGAATTTACGGTAAATACCTCTAAGTGTGCAGAATAAATTCCCGTCCCAGTCACTGATTAAACGTGTGCATCAAAGCTACATGTTAGGATGTTTCTTTCATTAAAATGCTTCCTCTAGGATGCACACATCTATAAAGTCATTGTCACTGCAGCTGAAGCACACCAGCTTGCCTGCGACTCTGCTCAAACGCTGTACTTTAGGCCACACAAGGCCCGTCCATGCTGTGATCAGAATCAGATTCTGAAACAGAGGACTGATGTGTCAATAAAGCTGCACCCTGCAAGCTGACGGGACGAGTTTCTTCGGTTATGAAACTCCGGAAGTCTGAATGTGTGAGACTGTCGTCGTTTCTGTTGTGGTTTGATGACTATTTAAATCATTAGTGTATAAAAAAACCACCAGCTGAGCTTTGTTCGCTGCAGGTTTCAACACAGAGCTTCCTCGCAACTTTTTCAGATATAAAAAAGCTAATTTTAGATCTTTTTTTTAAGACATCTCACCACTTTCAGAGCACATCTCTTCTCATTGCAGGCGCCGTAGTCTCCAAACGACACCACGACCAGCATCACAGAACCCAGAACTATCAGGACGGTCACACCTGATGGGGGGAAAAAACACATTTGTCATATCAGAGGTTAAAAAAAAAAAAAAGAAGAAGAATTAAAAAGTTTTCTTTGCCAAACATGTGCACCAACCGATGACGAACGCGCTGGAGTTGAGCTGCTCGATTTCAAAGATTCCTCTGGTGTTGTCGCTCAATCTCAGCCACAGCCCGAGACCAAGGAAGGCGATGCCAACCACCTGCAACACAGGAAGCAGGACCATGTAACGTGGGCCACAAGAGTCTCACCACTTGATTTAGTCTCGCACTGTAGGTGCCAGACGGCTGTTGTTGCTGCAACCTGGTAGGTAAGAAAAACAACAACAAAATGCAGAATGGGACCAACTGGGGGGCAGCTAGGTAAACAAAAATCAGCTGTTTAAGATGAAGTCCTTGTAAACAGGATAAATAATGTGAGCCTCATGTCACACACACACACACACACACACACACACACACAGACTGTTGCGATTCCCCAGAAACGAAACCACAAGGATTTCCTGTTTATTAAAGCTGCGCCAACTTTAACTGGACCCAGGAAATAACGCACTATTTTCCTCACTTTGTTCTCTTATAATTACCATAATACAGTCAGATTAATGGGCCCTTTTATTATTTTTTTATGTATTTTTTTGCCCCCTTCACATCCTTTAATGATCAAAAATCTGCCACTTTACCGCAAAGATGATGTTGAAAACGAGCAGGATGTATTTGCAGACGAGGCCACATCCGTCCAGTGCCATGGTGTCCAGCGGCTGGTGAAGCTACGCACTGCTCAGGTCCGGAAAGAGTCCAAAAGGAATGATCTCACCTCCTCAGCAGGGCCCGTCAGCGGTTCGGTTCAAGCGGTACCGGGAATGTCCAGTGACGCAGCGGGAATAATTACCCAACAAAAAAATTAGCAAATGAAATAATATTCGTGCACGGCGCGGACCTCGGGTTTTCCAGCTGCTGCAAAACGACACATCCGAGCCCTGAATGAATCTGCGCGTCCGCTCCGGAGCTCCACACCGCAAGCCCTGCCTCAGCCCGGCCTCACGCCCCGCCCCCCGCCGGCCTCGCTCAGCGCTCTGATTGGCCAGGATGTGTGAGTGACAGCCGTGTCCCGCCAATGAGCAGACGGAGAGGACGATGCGGGCGCCGACAGACAAACGGATAAAAAGAGAAGAAAGAAGGAAAAAGGAAACTTTGAGAAACGAAAGCTAAGAAACATGCGTGGCTCAGTTCGTCAGGGTGTGCCAGGCAGTTAACGGAGAATGAAAAAAAGAAGGAGAAAGGCTTCACTGTCAGCCTGCTCTTTGGAAATCTTTACTTCCTTCAGGCTTTCTCTATATTATTATTATTATTATGATGATGTGTTATAATTTAAATCACACTAAGTTTTTGGGGTCTAAACCTTTTTATGTAAAGTCTTATGGTAAATGTAGTTCATAATGTATTCAATTAATTAGGTTAATATATATATATATTTCACCTAGTTAATTTCATATTAATTTTATATATATTATACTGTATTGTCTAAACATCTATATTTAAACGAGTCTTGCAAATTTCTATAGCCAATGATATTGTTCGGTCAAAATGTTTTGGAAAGTTGCACCATTTTAACCATGATATTCAAAATAATCAGGTTAAATTTTTATTATATATTATATTGAATGGACTTAACCTTAAATTTATATATAAATAATATTGTAGGGACTTAACCAAATTATTTAAATTAGTCACATATTGCAGGGTCTTAACCTTAATATTCAAATTAGTCAGATACTTTTTAATATTTAAAAATATTGTAGGATTTTAACCTTAAAATTTACAGTAAACAGGTTTATTTATCTGGTATGTGTAATAGATTAGTTGACATAACATATTAATTAATTATTATTATATATTATTATATTATTATTATTATTAATTAGGTACGTTTGTGTTATGTGTATTATTTTAGGGTTTTAATGTTTAAATTAGTCCGGTAAATGAAGATAATCATTATTGTAGGGTCATAAGATTCATGGTGAAGAATCTGTTTAGTTTTTGTTATATATAATCACCTTAATATTCAAATAAGTCAGGTAAAACTGTGTTATATAGAATATTGTAGGGTCCTGGCCATATTATATTATTATTATTATATATTATATAGCAAATAATACTGTGTTGTCTTCGATATTTAAATTAGTCCAGTAAATTTCTAACATAAATAATATTGCTCGGTCTTAACTTTAATATTTAAAGTAGTCAGACAATTTGTATTATATATAATATTGTAGGGGCGTAACATTAAACTTGTTCAGACATTCGTAAAGTTGCTTTATTTCTCTGCTGGTACAACATCTGTCATTTATTTGTGCTGCATGAATGACGGTGGTTTTAGTGTAAGTGATGTGGTTTTGCACAAACAATGAAGGAAAAGTACAGAAAACCTACGAGACGAATGTAGGACAGTTTGATTTAGTGGAAGTGAAACTTAACTCCTATGAAGAAGTGAAACAAAAAACACATAATCCCCTCCTCCCCAGATAGATAGATAGATAGATAGATAGATAGATAGATG